GGAAGAGTCTCGGAGCCCCGAGAAAAGCATTGAAGCCTGGAAACCCTAAAGGTCTCTTTTAAGAGTATTACGGTACTGTAATAAGGAATATATATTATAATTCCCACAGTTTAGGATCCTTAAGGTAATGCAGGATATATATCATCAACTGTATAGGTAGTATTCATGAAGCCTAGCAACCTGAAAGGATTCTTTTAAGAGTACCATACCGTTTGGCTCTAAGGACCTATATTTTAAGGCGTTGGGCCCAAAGACCATACTGTATAGGTGTTTTGTGCTACTTTTAGCCTTAGAGTCGGTGAAGGTTTCTTTCAAGAGTACTATAGGTTTTTTGTATTGGGACTGGCAGAGTTTAGGTCTTGAAAACTTTGAAGCCCAGAAATCTTCGGGATTTTCGGGGTTCCCCAAATTGGGGTTCAGGCTTTGGGGTTGGCTGAGGTTGTAGAACGTCGTGCAACGAAGGGCCTTGTAGTGGTTCTACAATCATGTTTGATCGGTGTTTTCTGGAGTTTGGGGTGTCGGTTTATGCGTACACGTAAGGCCTCCTGCACGGTTACTTGAGGGCTTAGGGTTTATAGTAGAAGCCCAAAAGTTGGAAATCGCATAGCCTCAACCCGTAACAGTAATGTATGGCGAATCCAGCACTATTTGGCCTTAATCCGGTTTCCAACGTTTGGGACTTACTGAGTTCTCTATAGACCCTAAACCCTAAACCCCTAAACTTAGAGTTCCCTTTAAAGGAGCCCTCATAGATCCCTTATGGGGTTTCCTGTAGGGGTGTAGAGGTCTCTTGCCTTTAGGGTTCAGGAGTTCGCCCGGTAGGCGGCTTAGGAATTCATGAGGTCCCATCGGGCCTTAACCCCAAACACTCAAAGGGGAAAAGGAGGGACCCTTAATGGGGACCCTTAGCCTATAATGGGCTATATAATGGGTATATACTTGCTATATTAAGGGTACATACCTAGGGGACCTTATTAAGGGTCCCTCCTTTTACCCTTGGAAACACTCAACCGCAAACTCTAACCCTATAAACCTTAAACCTTAAAGCCTACTAGGACTATAGAGTTGTTTGTAAATGGAGTTACCCCAATTATAACCCTACCTATAAACAACTTACTAAGTCCCCGGCCCTCAAGTAGCCTAGGTTTGAGGCGTGCGTGGAAGTCTAGGAACCATGAAGTCCAAGCCGGACACTCGAAAGCGTCGTACAGGGGTCGTAAGACTTGCCACCATTGTTCATTAGGGTTTCCTCATATGAGAATTTCCGAAAATCGGGGTACTTTATTCTGTGGTCCTTATATTAGGGATCCGATTATGTAGGGTACTACGTTAGGGTCCGCTATTTTCGGACACCACCATGTATGTGTACTATAATGTGCCACACAGGAATTTGATGACTAGTTGGTAAGGCCCGTATATAAGCCCCTAGATGCAAAATCCAACTCTATCCCGACTAAGTATTATCACGACATGAGGTAGGCTTAGGTGTTATCGTTTGCATTCCTATCCATATTTAAAAGAACCTAGGCGTTATCAGTTATGGCTACGCCCAGACTCGGAATATTAGTCCTCAGGAGCCCTATACGCACACTCATCGAGTCTAACTTAAACCCGACCCCTGTCATCGGTACAGATCCTTACAAAGGTTGAAGCCCTCTTATGCAAGCTGCACAAAGATCTGGCAAACGTCATTCATCCCCAACCCTTAGCACTAAAGCCCTAAACCCTAAAAGCCCTAGACCCTGAAGCTCTCAAGCCCTGCTAACTGAAATATTATGAAGCCCGAAATCCCTAAACCCTGAAACCGTAAGCCACCAGCTGATCCATCCCCAATGTCATTCCCCTAAGGCTCCTTATGAAGATGTCCCAAAGGCTTATATGGGAGTTTCCGAAAATAGGGGACCCCCAAAAAAGTACCACCCCAAAATAAGGTACCCCTAGTTTTCGGAAACTCCCTTATTGCAGCTATTAAGCCCCTGCATATATACTGCCGCGCAGAATGCTTCTCATGGTAACCCTTATAGGGTAACAAGGAACCTTCTTATGATCAGTAACTTAAAGCCCTAACCCTAGACGAGATCCCCCAACCCTAGAGCCCGAGACTCTGAAGCCCTAAACCCCAAAAGCTCTAAACCCCAAATCCACTAGGATGCCCAGTAGTACCCTTATTCCCTTTTTGTAGTCCTAGGTTCCCTGTAAAGTTACCCAATCCCAAAAAGAGAGGCCTTTTTTTCTTAGGTTACTGGGTATCCTAGTCCAGAAAACCTTAACTTTAGACACTCCAAAGCCCTAAAGGGAGCTGATTCACTTCTCTGAGACTCGCTGGTTCTTTTAACACTTGCCGAAGGCATAGACGCGGCTTTGGGCGCGATGACCGCCAACCTCTATTCATATTGGTTTGGGATTTGGGGATTAGGCCCCTTCTTTGGGGTCCCTTTACAAGCCCAAAAACTTGCTTTTCGTCTTCCTCAGTATGCTTTCCGTATGGAAATAGCACCTTAAAAGGCGGGTGCTTTCGACTCTAGGTCAGATCCCAATGATGTAGCTGCATCGGATTCGCTGTTCGTAGAGTTTAGAAGCAGAGCTGCTGTTTATGTGATCGAATTTTAAGAACTTAAGGAAGCTTAGGGTTTCTGGTTCAGGCATGGTAGGCCCAGCGTCTCATGTGTTCAAGCTGTTCCAAAAAATATTTCAACACCTGCAATCGGGGCCGTGATGGTCATCAGCGGCTCGGATCGTAGCAATTTTGCCTAGAGCTCCGTTGAAATTCGGATCTCCCTGCTGCACGGATACCGTGCGCGCCGCTGCTGGAGGAATCAGTTGAAGGTAGAAACGTGTAAGGGCACTTGAGGGAAACCACTTGTTTGAGTCCACTAGGCTCCTGAGTAGTACCCTTTTAAACCTTTTTTTGCGGGTTCCCTTATGAAGACCAAAAAGTAGGAAACGGGGCTACTCAGAAACCTGGTCCCTGGTTCAGCCGGGCTTGGGCTTCAAGGTCAATGGTTTGCCATCGGTCCTCGTCCTGATCACAAGCCTAGCCTGCTTTACGGCTTGCAACCGACCCTTGCGGACGGTCCTCTTGTTTTGGGTTTGGGGCTTAGGGTTCCAAATGGGAGTTTCCGAAATAGGGGACCCTCATAAAGTACCCTAAATAGTAGGATCCTTATCATAAGGACCCCAAAATGAGGTACCCCCCCAATTTTCGGAAGCTCCCAAATAGGTTTGTACAATAATGTACCCTATATTACAGAGGATTTATTCGACTCGGACTGGGTATGATGGCCAAAAATATGTGGGTTTAGGGGTTTAGGGTTTAAGGTATAGATGGCCAAAGATAGTTATCACTTAGAAGCTGCCCGCACCCTGTAAGAGTGACTATAAGGATTATATTAGGGCTCTATTATATTCCTATTATACCACTATTACAGGGTGGGGGCAGCTTCTAAGTTATCACATAAAAAGCTGTAACTGCCAGGATCTTTGTAACTAAGGGAGCGCGGGCAGACTAATCGAAAACAACGATTTTGCGAAGTCTGGCACAGAGCAGCGCTGTACAGTTTGCTAGGGAAGGCTACCATACAAAGTTCCAAGTGCGCATGTCTGGCTGCTACTGCTACTTCTACTGCTGCCGTTTCTGCTGCTGCTGTTGTTGCTGCTTTTTGCGCTTTCTCATCCATATCCGGCTAAGGCTGATGTCGTCAACGGTCAGTCACGCCTTTGCCAGAAGCCAGTATAGGGATCGGAATAATTCGTAATAGTGGTCCCTTGTAGCCTTATAGTACCTTGTAGGTTTACATTACACCTATAATTAACAGTTATCAAGCCTTGATTAGCGAGTAAACCAGCGAAGGGTAGCATGCAATACCTGATCATTGCATTCATGATCCGGCATAGGCTTTAGGGCTAGGGTACTTAGGTCCAGGTGCAAAGTTGGGGTGTGGGCTTCGTGGTTCGGGGTTTAACCTGATGTACATCACTTTACATTGCAACTGAGCACCGAAACGCTGGAGATCCAGGACTAAAGAGACCAAAGTGTCATGCCCGGGGCAGAAGGGTTCGTTTCCAAATCCCTGCACCGCAGGCCGCGCGAGAGAACCATGCTCCCGCCAAAAGCCTTCGACCGTTTCTGGCTCGTGAATTCTACGCTCAGAAGCCCACACCCATGACCATCCAATATCAACCCCACCGGCAGAAACAGTGCTCGTTTACCTATACACACATCAGCGTTCCCTAGATCTCAAGATCGCTCTACAAGCCTTCGCCCCTCAAAAGGGGGGGCGAAGGGTTCGGGGTCTGTCAAACGGGTTTAGGCATGAAGGGTTGAAGCGTTTAAGCTTCAGGTAAGTTTTGTTTGGGGATGGGTAACGCTGAAAGAGACATGATGACACGATGGAGCTCCATTCTAATTCTTCGGGCCCCAAAGCCAGGTACCCTCGAAGGCAGTTCTATGTACGATAGGGGCAAAGTAATTACCTATACTATATTGGGGTGCCTTATTCTAGTTATAGTACAATATACAACAAACCCAATTTGCTCGAATTATTAAGGCCCCTCAAGTAGTAGGGCTCAGAGTTCATTACTTAACCGTCACCACTAAGTCACTAAATCATAATCCCAAAGACCCTGATCCGAATCGCTTCGGATGCAGGGTTTAGTTTAGTGTTTAGGAGCTTCTTCTAGATGAGCCCATTTTTCACGATTTAGGGTTTAGGGTTTGGTTTTTGTTCGTGTGTGTGTGTGTGTGTGTGGTCTGTTGTTGTTTGTGTTCGTCAATTGTAGTTGCATGAGGCGCAGGGAGGAAGATGCCGTGCTCTAGCAACAAGTGCATTCACGTACTTACTGTTCCCATGCAAAATGCGGGAGAGGGGGAGGAGCACCGTGATCAGAACCGGTGATGCTGTCTCCAGCAAGCCCGGCAGCTTGATGTCTGCATTTGGCTGAAGACAGCTTGCCTTTTCGACCCACCCTGCCATATCCTGCCGAGCTTCTTCGCAGCCCACATGGATGCCATGAAGGCCTATGTCATGTGCGGCGTGCTCGTGACCACATGCCTCAGTCAGCCTCAGAGGCCTGATTGGACGAAGTTGCCCTTCAGCATCAGCGGCACTCCCCCATCCGCAATGCAGGCGCTGGGCACGTCCTTGTGGAGCGACTATGTCAACGGCTTCTACATTGGCTTCCGGGATAGCAGACTCTGGGATGGCTTTGATGGCGCCACTTTTCGAAATCTCTTCGTCTACTACCCGGACACCGGAAGCCTCGATGTTCTGGGCACCCGCGGGGAAATACCTCCAACTAACAATGATGACGTCAAATATGAAGTTGTGCGCGACCCGACGACAAACACCATCTACTTCGTCGGCGGACACACGGGTACTTGGCAGTTGGACGAGGCATCGCGCACCTTCACGAAGTCCGTCTTCGGCGGCTATAGTGCAAGCCGTGGTTTCGCCATGGCGTGGAGTACTTTCAGGAATGGCTTCTACATCATGGGCGGTTGGTATGTGGACCCCAGCGTCGAAGGCGGAAATGTCTATTTGGATGACGTCTGGTTACTTGGCGTTCTTCTGGTTGGCTCTTAGAACTTTAACTTTTTGGGTTTCTATATGAACTATAATAAGGAGGCTAGAAGTTTAACTTTTAGGAGGGGTTCAGAAGTCAGCCAAGGTTAATGGCCACTTCAGGCGGTGGCAGCGTGGGGGCTTCTTGCGGTGGCCCCACGGGAAGCTTTGTCGCGACCTATGCCCCTGCGCTCAAGGGTGTCTTTACCTTCGGCTCGTATGAATGCAAGTCAGAACGAGGGGTTGGAGGAAGGCTACAGACCAATTGTTTCGAATACGACCACTTGAACTTCTATTCCGAAGTGGCGAACACATGGACAAGGCTGAGCCCATCGGGCTCGACCCCACCGAATCTGGGCTCTTGTTAAGGGAAGTATCCTAGGACCTGGAGTAGGCCCTTTATTCCCTTTTTTTAGGGTTCAGGTCCCCTTATAAGCCCCTTGAAACCAAAAAGGGCACCCTTTTTGTTCCTAGGCTACTCTTGGGTCTAGTATCTTAAGTTACCATAACAGGGTTATATACTAAATAATAGTGGTTCCGCATTATGGTAGTTTTAATGTAAATAAAGCCCTTAACAAGAGCCAGGAATGGCTGGCAAACAAACTCGTACTTGAATGGTTTCGCCTTGATGTGGAGCGACGCGGCCGGTGGAATCTTTGCCCGTACCGGTACCCCTACCTTCGCCGAGTACTTCTACTCCGCCAGTGACAATCGGTTCCTGGGGATCCCAAAACGTACCGTTTTAAGGGTTAGAGCCTATAATTACCTACCGTTTTAAGGGTTAGAGCCTATAATTAAGGGGTCATAACCTACTATTTTGTAGGGTTTGGGGATACCAAAACCTACTTTTTTTGTAGCGTCCCTGAAATTTCCATATTAGGGCTTGTAATTAGAACCTACAATAAAGTAGGTTATGGTAGTTTAAGGTGGAGCTTGGTGGCGTCAACCGGCACCTTTCCTTCGGAAGCTTGGGTGTCTTCTCCAGCCTGGCGTCAAGCCCATGGCAACACCTCAGCGGGCTACTGGGCTCTTCTTGGGGCTTTGGGGCCAATATACTATGATTATAATAAGGAACCACTCAAAATAGTATAGGTAATGATTCAGGCCCTTACATGTGATTAAGGCTTTACAAGAGTTATAGGGTTTAGAGGGGGGAATTAAGGTAGGTTACCTTCATAGGATTATATGGGAAATGCTAAGGTTTCCTTATATAGTCTTGTCGGGGGATTTCAGGTAGGTTAGCATCATAGGAATATATGGGAGTTTCCGAACATTAGGGGTACCTTATTTTGGGGTCCTTATAATAAGGATCCTACTATATAGGGTACCATATTAGAGTCCCCTATTTTGGGAAACTCCCATATAGTAAATGCTAAGGTTTCCTTATATAGAAAATATAATATGTTAAATCCCCTAACAAGAGCACAGGCTACTACGTCCTTGCTGGCAGCAGCTCGGGGTCCATTGAGAGCGCCTACTTCCTGGATGCAAACGAGCCCGAGGTAGCTGTCAACGTGTCAGAGCCGGTGGGCACTTGTGAGGTTGCTTGGTAGGGTTTATATAGGGTTTGGGGTTCAGGGTTTAGGGTTTAGCCAGGTAAGGAAGCTTTTAGTTTTTTAAACCCTAATTAAACCCCAAACTGTGTCTCTGGCCCCATGAACCTGAAGAGCGCCAGGAGAGGACCACTAATAATCCGTCAGCGTCATCGGGCTCCATGGGACACTCCATGTGCGGCGTCGCACTCCTAGGAAACTCGGACTTGTAAAAGATTTAGGGGTTTAGGGTTTAGGGGGGATCAGGTTTCCGGGGGTCTTCGCAAATGTTGTGTAGGAATTTCGGCAGCGTTTGAGGGGCTCTTGCCGGACCGTAAAAGCGGCTTTGTGGCTGTTGCAAATTTTGGGTCCTAGTCTACGAGGCTACATGGAGCTTTTGGGCACCACATTCAGTTTCGTCTGTTTTTGTGCGGTGGTTCATAGACTGCTGGACAGCGAAGGATGCCTGGCGCTGGCTCTGATGTGATCAGGTTTGCTTCCAGATTCGTGGATGTGCTCACCTACTATAATTATCCGTAAATGGAAGAGAGCCATTCAGTTGTGCAGGACCAGAAGCGACATGACCGTCGCTGTACAGCTGGGGTCTGTTTACCCATGTTTGCCCCGTAAGGGGTTCTTCCTGCGGTTTCACGTGCCCTGGCGCAGCTTGCAGTTCTGGACTACTGACCCTGAGGCTTCAGGTACCCTTATAGTATATACTTAGGCCTTAAAGTACCTATATGGGGACCCCTTCAAGGCCTAAGTATCTACTATAAAGGTACATGGAGCCTGTGGGAGAATTCTGCAAGCTGAAGCTCGGGCTTGGGAGCTGCATCAGAGCATGCGCTTCGTCCGTTTCACGGCTCCAAAACATATTCCTTGCTGCATCCAGGGCCTTTGATGCCCTACTGTCCTTAGAACCCTCTAACCTTCAACATCACCGTTCGTTGGGAGCCAGCTATCGTGTAGTACTTCGTTCCGGTGGCAGGGCCGAGGAATTTGGCGTAGCTGGGGCTCTTAGCATCGTCATGTCGGCTCAGCGCCTATATCGGTCATGTTCGACTATGTAGACAGGGGACAGTTGTGATGTCACATTGACACAGTGTGTAAAATAGAGGCCTCCATAGTTACCTTGTCATATTCATGGTATAATATACCCCAAAACCATATTCTAATAACTAAGGCCCCTATAATATAGTACCTGATTCTATCCCTTATCGTAGCCCTTAAAGACCCCTTCAAAGGAGCCTTTCAAAGGAGCCTTATTCAAACCATTCAGGCCCCTATATTACCGTCAAGCCTGAAGCCGTCCAAGCCTGGACCCCAGCGGTCCTGAAACCCCACTTGGAGGGGCGGGGGACTTAGTAAGTAGGTTATAAGTAGAGTTATAAGTACCCTAAATGGAGTTACCCCAATTATAACCCTACTTACAAACGATTTACTAAGTGCCCTCTTAGCACCAGCTCAGGCCACCCGCACCGATGCGGAACCCGCTCCGGAAGAAGAAGGCCAGTGTGGGTGTAGCGGGACGCACTGGGGTTCCGGAGTCTAGAACCAGTTCTGTGTGTACAGTTGTTGGGTCTCGGAGATCAGGGGTTGTACAGTATACAGCGGTTCAGGGTTCATTCTGCCTATACCCTCTCCGCACCGAAACTCGTGACATGGCCCTCTTGTTAAAGGACAGTCGTCTCTATCGGGCACCTTGTTGGCCATGTTCGTAGGGAGAGGTCACCCCAAACCCTGGACCCTAAAAGTCAAATCCCTAAAAGCCGGTTTCCCTTAAACCCTGAACTCTAAACCCTAAATCCCTAAACCCTAAACCCCTAAACCCTAAACCCCTAAACCCTAAGCGTGGAAGGTGTCGGCTTACCTCGAGGGGGGGGGGGGGGGGGGAGAGTTTGTCAGTTCGTCGGCTCAGGGGGGTCAGTTTCGGGAGCCCGACAGATCTGGGGTCTACTACTTGGAAGGGCAGGGGACTTCGTAAGGGTTCTTAAAGGGCTCCTTAAAGGGATCTATAGGGTTCCTTAAAGGGATCTATGGGGTTTAGGGTTTAGGGTCTATTTGGAGGGGCAGGGGACTTAGTAAGTCGTTTATAAGTGGGGTTATAGTTGGGGTAGCTCCATTTAGGGTACTTATAACTCTACTTAGAACCTACTTACTAAGTCCCATGCCCCTCCAAGTACAGGGTCGGCATGGTTCGTAGTCGTCTCCCCTCATACTCCTTGCATAATAGTCATATATATATATATATATATATAGACACACCCACACACATACACACACATACATACAGACAGACATACAGACATACAGACATACAGACATACAGACATACAGACATACAGACATACAGACAGACATACAGACATACAGACATACAGACATACAGACATACAGACATACAGACATACAGACATACAGACATACATACATACATACATACATACATATACAGATAATAGATATGTAAACCGCTTAATGTACTCCCCTTGGAGCCCCTCTCTGATTCGAGTAGAACAAAAACCCCGACACCCCTTCCTAAGTGTTCAAGGCCCCAAACTTAACCCCCAATAACCTACCTTTTTAAGGACTCGCATTATTGGTATAGTTTCCCTATGTACAACCCTAGTTACTAAGTACCGCGAGTCTGGAAGCCCTCGTAAGTCTTCGAGGCGTTCCAATGCTGCAGCAGTCTGGCGAGGTGGTGCAGGTTTAACCCTGAGCCGGTTGTACCTTCAAGGGTTTAGGGCTCCTTTCAGGGGTTATAGTGACATTAATGTAGGTTTTCAGGGGCTCCTTTAAGGGTACTTTAGAGTTCTATAACAGGGCCGGTTGTACCTTAAACCGCGAATGACGTTAAAGTTTAAATATTCATATGATAAAGAGGTTTAGGGGTCTAGGGGTTAGGGGTTTAGGGGTTTAGGGGTTTAGGGGTTAGGGATTTAGGGGTTTAGCGGTTCAGGGGTTAGCGATTTAGGGGTTTAGGGGTTCAGGGGTTTAGGGGTTTAGGAGTTTAGGGGTTTAGGGGTTCATGGTTTAGGCTTCCTTCAGGGGTGTATATGATATGGTTTAGGCTTCCTTCAAGGGTTTATGGTTTAGGCTTCCTTCAAGGGTTTACGGTTTAGGCTTCCTTCAAGGGTTTATGGATTAGGCTTCGTTTGAGGTTTTGGGGTTTAGGCTTCCTTTCATGGGTTTAGGCCTCTTTTAAGGGTTTGGTGTTCCTTCATGGACCTAGTTTCAAGTTAAGTTTATAAGCGTTTCATAGCATGTCTCACTTTCGTTTGAGAGCTCTTCTTCCAGGAACTCATCTGTAATCGGCTTGTATGATGGGGTCTATGCTACGTTGGTTACATGAGATGCTTCCTAAGTCTTAGGTATGGTAAATTTATAACGGATTCCCTGAGAAAGCATCAAGACGGACGTGGAGGACCGACGGACTTAGTCATCAAGACTATAAAGCGTAGTTTGGGCTTCGGGTCCAAGGTATACCAATGCTACGTATGTGTCACTTAGGGTTTTCTTACTAGTTTCCCCGCCTAGTAAGGAACTCAAACATGCACTCACTGCTTCCATATTTGGAGACTTTTAAACTATAAACACGCGCAAAAGACGTGCTGTATACAATGCCCCGCATCATGCTCAGAAGAAGCCACTACCCACAGGCCCCAAAGTAGTTCCTTTTTGGGGTTCATATATGGAATCTTATAAGATATTCCCAAAAAGGAACTATACTTTGGGGCCTCTGGGTACTCCCACAAAATCGCCCAAGCGAGGCTCAGCCCTTGTCAAAGCGCTTGGCCAGCTCCCCAGTGCTCTGGGTTGAGGGTTCTTAGGCTCAGGAAGGGCCTTGGAGGTTTATTTTTAAGGGTTCAGGAAGGGTGTAGTGGTTTAGGGTTTTGGGTTTAGGTTTCAGGGTTTAGGTTTCAGGGTTAAGGGTTCAGGAAGGGTGTAGTGGTTTAGGGGACTTAGTTAGTAAGGTTATAAGTCCCCTAATTAGGTTTATAAGTAATTATAAGTATAGTTACCTAGGTTTAGGGTTAAGGGTTCAGGAAGGGTGTAGTTTAGAAGCTGCCCCCACCCTGTAATAGTGACTATAAGGATTATATTAGGGCCCTATTATATTCCTATTATACCACTATTACAGGGTGGGGGCCCCTTCTAAGGTGTAGTGGTTTAGGGTTGAGGGTTTTAAAGGAGTTCTTCAGGGCTTTCTCTGACCGGTGCAACAAGGCTTTCTCTACGGGATTGTCTGGGTGTTTCCTGGTTTGCCGGACTCGGTGGGGTCCACAGAGACTCCAATATCCCTCCGTTTTCGCACTCAGTTATGGTAGAATCCCTAACATGCTTTAACATATATTCATGTACTATCCTTGATTAAGGGATACTGGAGTCTCTGGGTCTTGGCTCACGGTTTAGGGCCTTGGATTGGGTCCTCCGGCTGTTGTATTTTGTAAACATTGTTCATTCGATCAGTACCCTCTCTTGATTACAGATGCAAGGGCCATGGTCCATGGTTCTACAAAGAAATTCTCCTATCAACATAAAAGCCTTGAGAAACAGGGGTTTGGGCTGCCGTGGGTAGACACTCAAGACTCCACAGGTCTTGTCTTAGACTGAGGGCTTTCTGTTGGACACGGCTGTTACAGTTCTCATTCTAAGTGGCTGGACATGAACCCAAAACCCCAAACTCTTGACATGGCTTGCTCTGTCCTGGCTTGTCCGGAGAACTTCCAGACCTTGAACCTCCAAACAAAAGTATATATAGGGTTTAGGGTTTAGGGTATAGTGCGTATCTGGCTACATAGTACAGTGTATTCTACACATATACACACAGCATGCATAAGAGGCGTACGCATGTATAATACCATGTTATGAACCGTGGAAATAACTGTGAAGATAATTTCTTCGCAACGCATTGTACACGGCTAGCCTTGATAAGCAAGTCCTTTCCCTACTAGTCAAAAGATACCCTTACTCTTTTTGTCCCAATGTAATTACACATAGTATACTCAGCCCCCGAACTCCATTCCAAGGTGTCGGGCCCATTATCATACCCTTTGTTGCAACCCGCAGAACATCTCTGCAAAGAACCCTTTGCAGAAGCCATACTAACACCCGGTCCTAGTTATACATATGCAAGTAAACCGAAATGCATAGATATGTATGTATATATATACACACACATAACATACATATTTGTGTACATATGTATAGATAGATAGATCGATAGATAGATAGATAGACAGACAAAAGTGCGTACATGCTCCTTTCAGAGTCGGGAGTGCAGCATTTCAGGCTTCTTATACGGGTCGGAATGTTCAATAAGAACAACATGTCCATGTAGGACTTCCTTGTAATCTTTCGCTGCGATTAGTGCAACTCCCGAACATGCGGAAGTCATAGTCATAGAACCTGTAAGATGCTGATCAACTCCTGTAGCATCCGTCTCAGGCCACACGCTTTCTCCGTGTTCTGGCTGAGATATCG